CAGGCAGCCCTCTGCTGGTGTCTGATGAATAATTTCATCTGATTCCTAGTGGTGTAAACAAAGCCCGCTTTAGTTCTCTAAAAACAGCACTCTGGGTATGACTAGAGGACAGATACTGGCTATTTAGAAGCATCTTAGACAATCCGACATTGACTTCCTGTAGTTGGGTTGTTTTAAAGGTATGATAACATCTAACACTGATGCCTAGTGAGAACAGGTTCTGTTCAACTGTGGGAGAGAAAACAATGGACTGGTAGCGGTGGTGGTGCTTTGCCGTAGAATTGGTTCCAATTCATAGCGACCCTGCATAGTGCTTCCAAAGCTGTAACTCTTTATGGCAGCAGAAAGCTTTATCTTTCTCTGGTGATGCAGCTGATGGATTCAAACTGCTTTCCTTGAGGTTAGTAGCCCAACACATAACCCACTATGCCACCAGAGCTCCTTAGGAATTGCATTGTGATGTTTCAAACATGTCTTTCTTCCCCAGGAAACTGAAATTGTTAAGGGGCCTTCTGAATTTCTATATAAACTCACCAGTGAGCATAACATTTGGGCAGTCAACACATATATGTTGCGATAATGAATACATGAATGGATGGATGCATGCATGAATGAATGAATGAGTGAGTGAACACTTGACTGAATCCTTTACGAGAGACCTCCTGGGCTCACTAGCGTATGAGCCCTGAAAAGAACTTAATGTTTTGTGATCTGAACTCTTCTGGAAGTTCAAGCTCTTGATTCTAATGGCATGCTCTTATCCTGCGGCCTTTCCTTTAACATAACCAGCCCCTGGAGTTCTTGATTCCACATGTGAAATAGCTGACCAGGGCATCACATGCAGGAGGTACTGCCTAGCTGTGTACAGCCCCTGGCTTTGTACAACAAAGGGCATGTGTATCACAACTTGTTTTCTATTTACTGTGGCATAGGGGTCATTGGCCAGTTTGAAGCTGGCCTTTCTTAGGGATACAGTTAATGTCAAATTTAATTTGGCCGAGAGGTCTCACTGAGGGTCTTGTACATTTCATACTCAGGGCAATTCTATGGCACTTCACCTCGGGTAAGCCCAGGTTTTTGGTTCTGAGATGGTGGGACCTTTCTTTCATCTGAACCTCTGAATTCAAAGGAAGTGATAAGTAGTTGGCTCAACATTTCTTAGAAGCCTGACTTTACGTATAGCCAGGGTAGTGGGAGAGCATCTTATTCTATGTCTGGTCCCATAAACTGAAGTGGATGTGAGGTCAGGGCCCCCATCTCTTTTATCTCAAGGTAAAATGAAAGTATCTCAGTGTATACATTTCAGGATATAATATGCCTTATGTCTGATGCTTCAATAGGCCCAAAGAGGCTGTTTTAGGTGCTGCTGCTTCTGTTCTGCTCCTTCCTGACAGCAGGCTTTAGGCCAGCTGTCATCCTGTTCTTGTTAAGTGTCGTTGAGTCAGTTCCAACTCATAGGGTTTCTGAGGAGAGGCTGTTGAGGTTGAATCACCAACCTTGTGGTTCAAACCGATCTTGTGGTCCAATGTTTATCCTACAGTGCCACACCTGAACTCTAGCTACTGTTCTGTTATTGTTGTTTTTGAGTTATCCTACTCAGTTCCAATTCATAGTGACCCTGTATAGGGTTTCTGAGGAGCGGCTGGTGAGTTTGAACCACTGACTTAGGAGTTCAAACCAACTTTGCAGTCCAGCGCTTATCCTACAGAGCCACAATAGACTCATTCACTGCTCCTAACAGAGTCTACATTGTGGGACTAGGAAGGATGAAGACCATGAAAAGACGTCAACAATGAGTCCTTAGGCAGACACTCCTGCCTAGGTCACTGTACAGCTACAACACTCAGTAGAAAACTCTGGAACTCATAAACACCAAGGAAGTACCCGAGGAGTCTATCCCTGGTGTACCTGACAGGGCAGTGAATATTGTCTAAAGAGAAGAAGCTGGAAAAGTGAAGGAGTAAAGCGTATTACAGGAAGAGGAAACATGTACAAAAGTTCAGGGGTGACAGTGTGTCAGGTATGGGCATCACACAGAGGTGCCTTGACCAAGAGGAGGCAGAACTTTAGGAAGAAATGGACAGAAGAAAGAATCAGCAGGATGGAGGTAGATCTTGGAGAGTGTCAAGATTCAAGACAGAGTTTGGTACCCAGACATGAGTTTGACAGGTAACTATCTTCATCATCCCTTAAATTCCTGTTTCAAAATTCCTAGTCTTGGTTGGAGGCATTTAGGTCAAGTTAAATACTTATACTCGAGTCCTGTTGTTGTTAGTTGTTTACACTAGAATGCTGTTTTTCTAGTTGTTTATACTAGAGTATTGTTGTTTGTTACCCCCAAGTTATTTTCCAACACACGGTGACCTTGTATACAATGAAACAAAATGGTGCCTTGTACTGAGCCATCCCCATGATTGGTTACAAATAGGACCATTGTGATACATAGGGTTTTCATTGGCTGATATTTGGATTGAGATCACCAGGGCTTTCTTGCTAGTCCATTTTAGTCTGGAAAGTTCATTGAAACCTATTCAGCATCACTGCAACACGCAAGTCCCCACTGGCAGACAAGTGGGCTTCTAATGTGCTTGTGCTGTACTGGCTGTGTCTTCCTCACAGAAGGGGGATATTTTACCATGGAATTGACACTGAGCCACAGTCTTCTCAGATTTCTTCTTTTCACCTTCTGCCAGCTAATCAGTCATTGAGCCTTGCTGATTTTGCCTTCCGAATCTGTCTTACATTCATCCCCATGGCTACTGTCCTGGTTCAGCACTCAGTATCTCTTACCCAGATGATTGCAGTCATGTCCTAATTGGTCTCTCTGTTTCCATCTGAAGCTAAAGAAGATTTGTAGAATGAAAAAATGAATGAATGCCGAGTTTTGAAGTGATATGATGTTGCCCTAGGAAGAAAGCTTTAGCAAGCAACTTTTCTACCATCCATTGGAAACACAAAGAAGCTTGTTACCAGAGCCAAAGATGTAATCCTCCAGGGATGAGGGATTACAACTCAGACTCTGCTTGGGAAACAATCCAGCCTCCATCTGTCTTTGGAATCTGCAGAGAGCCTAGGGCTCTCTGATAATAGAATCAGAGTCACATCAGGGTCTCACTCATTTGCTTCTGCCCTTTAATTGGAGTTCTGCCGCAGAGGAGTTCAAGAAACAGGCTTCTAATATGGAGAAAGGAGTGGTCCTGCCTCTAAGGGTACCCCATAAGTGCCAAAGTACTACTGTGAAGACCACCAGAGGAAAACGTGGCCGTCTCTCATTCAAAGGGTTGCTCCCAGTACCAGGAAATGCCGCATCTTGGGGGACATTGCTCTCCTGACTGAATTAACCTGGTTTCATGCTAGGCAAGGCTGGCAGCCAGATGGAATGAGCTCTGTTAATACACCAGCTGCAATTGTGCTCTTAAAGTTTCTTTCCTCAGAAAATCCTTCTCACCCTCCATATCTCCTCATCTCTCCCTTGCAACATTCAAAATCAAATCACAAGCGCCTGCCCTTGGGCCCATCTGATCTTTAACAAGATCATTCCATCATCTCCTTCTAACCTGGAGGAGTTTAGGAAATGACTGTAACCCACGGTGGCTCAGGGTTGACTCATAATTCAGGTGGATTATATAATGGAAAGTGAAATGGGATATTCATTCAGAGTAAGATGTTGTCTTTGATGGCTTCTCTGCACACAAAGTAAAGGAGCGCACTGGAGGCAGTTTCCCCAATATCACAGGTCCCTTATATCCATTTTGCCACAGCTACTTGGAATTCTGAAGCTAGGGTGTTTCCTCCTTCAGAAACCCTATACAGGGTCACTATGAGTCAGAAGTGACTCGATGGCACTTAATAACAACTGCAGCATTCTGCAGGAGTCTGTTTTTCCACATACCCTTCCTGACAGCCTCGTAACATGATCAATGGGAGAAGGTGGTATTACACTCAGGGTTTATTTCACATTTTGTTCTAGAATTTTCTATTGGTTCTTTGGGCAAGGATTGTGTGGGTGACAGTATGTATGGGTGGTAATGCTGAAGGAGGAAACTTGTCCCACAGGTAGAGGGACAAGGTAGTTGTACAATCTAGTCTCCAACAGAACATTTTTTGGGGAGATCTTGCTAGCCCCAAGTGCAGGCCCAAATGTATGAGTAAGCCCTTTTATAGGTTTCCCACAGCATAGCCAGAGAAGAGATGGAAAGTCTAATGTGAATTCCTAAAATGCTGAGAAAGAAGACTACAGAAGTGAAATATACCTGGAATGGGGATGAAGAGGGCCCATCAACACATCAATAACATGACTTATCAGGCACCCTGATGGGATGGGATCACCCTCATCTTACTGAGCATCTTCTCATTCCACAACTCACTTGAGAGATTTACATTGTAGCTCCAGTCTTGGCTCATCTTCATAGATACTGAGCTAAAGAGCCATCAGATAGCCCCTACCTTCATAATCTAGTTATTTTCCCTAAGATCAGATGAACAGCATCTATCTCCCCAAAATGAGAGGACGCTTAAATAAAGGAATGCATAGAGAGAGTCTAACAGAATATACACAGTAGGTGTTCACTAAAGCTGTCTGCTCCACAGTCACCTTCATTGCCACTCTGCCAGCCTCTGTGTCCTAGCCCCTTGCCCACCTCCTTAACTGTGGTACCATCTCACAGTCCCATTAACAGGAAGTCCACTCTCTCCTATACAAGTGGATGTTTTTCACATGCCCCACCTCCACCTCCACACCAATTACTTCATCTCAGGTTCTGGGCAGCCCAGGACAGTTTTATGAGTATGTGATTTGATTTAATGCTTTGTTGCCGCATCTTGAAAATCTTCATTTTTGAACAAGCCATCCTGTATGTTCATTTTGTGCTTGGTCCCACAAATTATGTAGCTGGTCTTTTAGAAAGGAGACCAAACTCTCCCCAACTGTCCAACATCATCCCTTATATTTTATTTGTGTGTATCTTTCACAAACAAGTAATTAAAGAGACAAAACCTACCACACAACTTCTGAAGGGATTTCTCAGAGTAGGTCTCCCGGTCACAGCCTTTCCCGATGTAATTGGTCTGCAGCTCTGTGGTGATCTGAATGGAGGACACAGGTCCATCGCACGTCTCCAGGTGGATGCTGGGAAACAAGGGCAGACTCCCTGAACCAGGCTGGTATTCAATTCTTTTGGTCCAATCTGAATAAATAAGGAAAGGAATTTTCAAAATCAAGCATGTAATAATAAAATTATGACAAACAAGAGAAAAAACAGATAAATGGGACTTCATCAAAACGGAAAGCTTTTCTACAGCAAACGACTTGGTCAACAAAGTGAAGAGACAACCTACAGAGTGGGAAAAATTTTACTTGGAAAAAATTTATTTGATAAGGGTTAATGCCCAGAATAAATATATGTATCTCCTGCTAATCAACAAAAAGACAAACAAACCAATTTTAAAATGGGAAAATTACTTGAGTAGACATTTCTCTAAAGAAGATCTATAAATAGCCAATAAGCACTTGAAAAGATGTTCAATGTTATTAGTCACCAGAGGACTGCAAATCAAAGCCATAACAAGCTGCTTCTTCCCTCCCATTAGGGCTGCTATGCTACTAAAAGCTATGCCACCTGTATTACAAATATCAGCAGGGTCACCCTTGGTGGACTGGCATTAGTGTAGCTTCCAGAACATGACAAAGTAGGGAGGAAGACCTAGAGATGTACTTATGAAAATCAGCCAATGGTGAGAAAACAAAAAACAACCCTAACCCCTGTGGATCACCCCAGAATATTTTCCAGTATAGTATCAGAAAATGAGGCCCCAGTTTGGACTGCACTCAAAGGACAACTGGAGAAGAGCTGTCTTCTCAAGGTACATCTGTAACAGGCAGATGAAGTAAAGCCATTGAGATCTTCTTTTGTTGATCTGGCATGGCTCAAAAATGAGAAATAGCCGCAGCCACAACAAAGGACTGAAACTGATCATGAAGATGACGCAGGACCAGAAAATATGTCTTTTTCTCTCTTGCCTTTTTAGGTATCACCGATGAAATTTTGAATGTTGTGCTTCTCATTTCACGTCCCCCACAAGCCCTGTGATTTTACTGCAAGCTTTTCCCAGTGCAGTGATTTTTAGGAATGTATACATCTTACATTGTTGTTACAAAACAGTTTAAGGCTTAAATGAGGTCATGAGGTGAGGTATAAAGGTTCTTTCCTCAACATGTAGGACTGCAACTCACTTAAACAGGGATGAGTATACCATCATTGTTTTGTAGTGGAAGATGAACTGGGGGACAATAAAGCATTGGAGACGAACAAAATCATCACACAAGAAGGATCAACAAAAGTAAACACTAAGAATGAACACTAAGTACACATACACTGATTGATGCAATAATAGTAGCAATTGAAAATCAGAACCAAGTCAATTAACTCTCATGATGAGTGGTAATACTGCGTCCTATTGACAACAGGGAGAATCCTATGCTCTGCACAGATGCTTTACTGAGGGGAGCCACATCTCTAAGTAAGACATAAAGGTAGAAAAGCGAATTTGTATCATCAATAAACATGGCGTAGGAGTACTGTTAGTTTATGAATATCAAATGTTTGTCACAAAAACACTGCTAGAAGGTAGTCTTTTACTAAAGTAATAATGAAAATCTATGTGCTCACCCATGAGAAATCCAGAAAGCCAAGCATTTGTGGGTCAGTTTGCAGCCTGGATCCTCACAAGCTCCCAGTGGGCCAAAGGCCATCAGCATGGCCAATACCAGTTGTCTAGTAAAGAACGGCACTTAACAACAGCAACAGTAAAGAGCTGGCCTTGACCATAGTCAAAGTCTGCCCTTGTCCTTACCTTCTCGAAGGTAATCTCAAAGCCCTTAGAATTATACACCAGATAGCAGGCTCTTTGTTTGCTTTAGGGGTTGGGTCACAGTGTTGTTAAGTGTTGTAGAGTTGGTTTACAACTCACAGTGACCCTATATAGGGTTTCCAAGGAGTGGCTGGTGGGTTTGAACCACCAGACTTGCAGTTAATAGTCTACTACTTACCCTACAACATCACACTAGAAATCCAGAATAGTCTAATTATGGGATTAAGGGAAGAAGCTGGCCACAAAAGTACTATCATAGGGTGGAGAGTGGCCATGCCAGAAAGACCAACAATGTGACTTAGGGTGGGGACTTTGGACTTACCCAGGAAGTGGAGATCAACCACATGGTCAATCAAGCAAGTCTACATAATGGAACCCCAATAACAACTCTGAACACTGAGGCTCAGGTAAGCGTCCCATTGCTCATGAGAGAGTAACACATCTAGCCCCACAAGGTGAGAACCATGGAAGCTCTGTGTTTGGTACCTTTCCTGGACTCTGCCCTACGATGCAGCCTGCGGCTGATTTTAATCTTTATCTTTGCCCTGGAATAATGTTTAACTGTGAGTATCAACAGTTTTCAGTGAGTCTGTGAATCCTTAAGGCAAATTGACAACCTGAGAGTGGCTTTGTGAACCTTCTGAACCTGCAATTGATGTCATAGATGAGAACAGTCTTGTGGAGGGCAGTGTGACCTCTAATTGGAGCTGGCTAACTCACAGCTGGCCTAAACTCCTCACACCAGTACAGAGGAGTACACGGGGCTTAGGGACCGGTCAGCTAGTTTCCTTCAAGGAGCACCTATTTTATACTCTGGGTTTCTAAGTGTAAGGCTCTGCTTTGACTGCTTCAGACCAGCAGTGAACAAGTCAGGAGAGGCCCCTGTCTCATGGATCTGGGAAGAAGGGCTGACAATAAACATGGGCTACATCAGAGACCATAAGGGTCAATGGCAGGGCTGGAGGGGGTCTCATTTAGAGTTGAATCTCTTTCTCACCTAGATATAAAGAAATGAAGGGAAACGGTGGAGTTTTCATTCCCCTTACGGACACCCTGGCTTGGCTGGGAGGGCATGAACTGTTGTGACCAGTTAGGGAGAACTTTGGTACTAAAGAACTTTAGGAACCTGACAACTGCCAGCTGCTTTGCTGACCTCATGAGGCTTGCTTTTTTGAGGGTTCATGAGGAACACATAAATTGTAACCATATAGTAAAAATGATGACACTTTCTGAGCACAGGGTCCTTGAGAGAATGGGAAGATCACACAAACATCTTCCATTTTTTACTGAAGCAGGATGTAGAGCATTGTGTTGGTGAACTATGTTATGCCAATTGACCATGATGTCCCCTGAGACTTTGTCCTGAGTTCCCAGGCCCAGGAACTTATTTCCTCAAGGTGTTCAGGAATGTATAAGAAGTTTTCATCATTTGCCCCTTGTATGCTTCATCATGAGAGTGTGGTGGCTCCACACAATAAGCAATGAGCAGCAAATCACAAGGACCATGGTTCAAGTCTGCCATCCAGTCCATAGGAAAAAGATAGACTTTCTGCGCCTGAGAAGATTCAAAGCCTCAGAAACCTTATACAGGGTTGTTATGAGTCAGAATCAACTCAGTGGCACATAACAATAAATGCTCCACCACATGGTGTGTTTTAAATACACGTCTACAAACATCCTTTGTCAAACTTTTTTGTAAGTGTGGGCATACTGCCATTCTCCCTCCCATACCCATTCAGCCTGTGTGTCTGTCCATGTGTCTACCTGTAGAACACTGTTATTCCAAGTTGTGTATATATCATTACTTATCCCTGTCCCCTTTAGCCTTTGTATTTCTCTCTGTAGCTTCACCTGTCTTCATTATTCTTCTGCTAACCTCCCTCTTGTTGTATCTTGCCTCCAATACCTGAGTTAACACATATGTGCCCTCTAGCCAGTGAATTACTCTTCCTTCCCTCTCACCCTTGGTAACCATCAAAGAATGTTTCTTTTAGCATGAAAACCTTTTGAGTTTTTGCAACAGTGGACTCATACAATATTTGTCTTTTTGTGACTAATTTCACTCTGCATAATGTCCTCCAAGTTCATCCAATGTTATGAGGTTGATAGTTATTTGTCAATGTTGTATTCCATTGTGTATATATGCACCAAAGTTTGTTTATCCATTTTTCCATTGGTGGGCATTTAGGCTGTGTCCATCTTTTGCTGTGATGAACATGAGTGCTTAGAATCAATTAGTCCAATGGACTAATGGAACATGTGAACATCAGTTTCCTTTACTCTGAGACCAAAAGAACTAGATTATGCCTAACTACCACTACCACATATTTTAAAAGGGATCACATTAGAAGGTTCCAGATAGAGTGGAAGACAATATGGAACAAACTTCAAAATATAAGAAAAGACTGGGCTTACTGGTCAGAAAGAGACTAGAGGAACCAGAGACTATGGCCCTTGGCCACCCTTCAGATTTAGAACAGAACTCACCCTCATGGTCCAAGAGGTAGATAAGTGTATAGTGGGGACAAGGACACTAGTACGGTATTCTCACCATGGAATGATCAACCACTCAATATCAAAAGGGCAACATTTACCTAAGAACACAGTTCAGAGGAGATGGGAATGAGGTTGGAATAGAAATAAGAACCACAGGGAGAAAGTGGGATGATTGTTTTTACGTGGAGGGGACTGCAATCATTGAGATGAAACAGTATGTGATTTGTTGAATACAAAACTGAAGATCTGCTCGGTAAACCTCCACTTAATTCACAATAAAAAGTTTCAACAAAAATCAAGCAAAGAAAAACCAAAATCAAATCTTCTGTTTCTCGAGAGGGGTGGAAGTGGATAAAAATGGATAAACATACCATGCACGTGATCACTCTTCAAAGTTAACAAGGGCTGTCCTACAAGAATTTCATTGGTCAACCACACCCATCTACCCTCCAGCCCCAACTTGCTCCTTCTGACTTCTCTTTGTTCCCCAAACTCAGAAAACACTGAAAAGGAACACAATTTAAATCCCTCGAGGATGAAGAACTGCCATTTTGACATGGTGTAAATTGAAGAGTGAAAAATTCTTTGGGGGAATGGTGGTAGTTGTCATATACCATTGAGTTCTGACTCATAGTAACCCTACAAAGGGTTTCTGAGGTTATAAATCTTTAAAGAAGCATAAAGCTTTATCTTTCTCCCACAGAAAGGTTGGTGGGTTTGAACTGTCAACCTTATGTTAGCAATCCAGTGCCTATCCTGCAGTGCAAACACTGCCTTTAGAAGTGTTTAGACTTAGATGGAGGCTATGTCAATTAACAAT